AAACAATGTGATCAATAGTCAGCTTTCTGAAGTTAGGATCAAGTGCTATAACCCTGAAGCCGAAGCCCAAACCAATACCCCAGCAACGCCTTCTGAAATGGTCTTTGCAAGTTCTCTCCATATCTTGGAAAACACTTCGTGACCAGTATGCCACATCATGTGTACTAACATACCTATAATGCTTCTCATGGCGCAACTGCTTCTCGGGTTCCTCCATTGAAATTGCCTCATTCATCGCCTCAGCCGTTGATTCAGTATTCCATGGGTTAACCCGAATTGCACCACTTAGTGAAGGGGAACATCCAATAAACTCTGATACTACTAGCATGCTCTTCTTCGGCCCACTGTGTTCTGAATTAGAATCTGATACAGAGTTTCCTTGCCTGCACACAATGTATTCATATGGAATAAGATTCATCCCATCTCTCACAGCTGTGACAACTACACACTCGGCAATGGTGTAATATGCAACTCTTTCACTAAGAGAGACTTGCCTATCAATAAACACAATGGGTTCATAACCAGTCCGACCAAATTTTTCATTAATTCTTTTGATGCTTGACTGAATTTCAGCCTGCGTTTCCTCAAGATCTTTCCCTCTTCCCCTAGCAGGGTTTGCTATCTGTACCAGAACCGCTTTCCCCTGCCACTTCGGATGCTGCTTCAGCATCTGTTCCATTGCCAAGAGCTTCAAGTTGACACCTTTAAAGATGTCCATATCATCAACACCCAGCAGCACAGTCTTCCCCTCAAACTGTTGTTTAAGTTCTCCTTCCCTCCACTCCTTATCGGCAAGCTTCAACACTGACCCAATCTGCCCCATATGAATCCCGACAGGCATGATCTTTATCCCAACTGTCCTTCCAAAATAATCCAGCCCAATATAACCCCGCTTTGACTGATACTCCAAACCCAACATCCGACTACAACAAGACAAGAAATGTCGAGCGTAATCAAATGTGTGGAACCCAATAAGGTCCGAATTTAGAAGTGCCTTTAGGATCTCTTCCCCTTACCGGTAGAGTCCTATATATTTCAGACGAAGGGAATGGGCTGTGAAGAAAAAACCCCATTCTCAATCTATTGAATCTCCTCCTCAAGAAGGTAGGCAGGCACCATTAGATGGTAATCATGAATCCACACATAGTCATCCTCCGGATTTATTACCTCGATCACCCTTTGTGAAAAAATCTTATTTGCAGCCACATATGCTTCCCACAAAGACCGATCGAACCTCCCACCATGGGTTGCTGAGAATGGAAGCATGTAATGAAACAAAGGCCACAAATGCTGCTTACAAAACCCATGATAGAACTTGGACAAAATGTCGGGCGGCAAAAAAGCTGGAACACTCTTGAATCTATCCAACAGGAGCGCTGATACATCGTCCTGTTCATTCGAATCCACTTCGACGCTCAAAGAACCTACATACAAAACCTCCATATCTTCAGGTAAACCGTCCTTCAACTGCAATAACAATGAGTCCTCATCCCAACTAAAGCTCCATCCTTTATTATCCGGTCTCCGCTTAGCTTTCACAGGGAGCTGGTTGGCAACAATAATTATCCGGTCCTGAACGATCGAGGACGGAACATCCGAAGACACACTACCAGCCTGATCATCATCAAGCTCAGATATAACACCGGCAACGGTCATTACACGCGGAAGCCGCCGTCTTTCGCGACCCATTACCGGAAAGTTCCCGGAGGCTAGATCTAAAAGATTGGTATACGATTTGGACATCATCTTGAACAGAATTTATCTGGGTTTCCCCAATCCAACTCAAAAATCACAGACAAGATCTCACAAATATAAACCTGACCCAAGATTCCTTGCCTCTTCAAGTAACAAAAATTAAGCAGGATCTGTAATAACATGAAATAAACGGGCATCAACATATACCAAACTAAGCATTGATTCCAATACCCAAATTAGATTCAATCACTGCAAATAACCATTAATTAATAACACTTCCTAATACCAAAAACTGCAAAAAAACAGCATAAAATCTCATGTTTCAGTTAATATCCAAAAACAAAGTAAACCCTAGAGAGTGAATTGAAATATTTCCAAAAACTGAAAGAAAAAAAAAAGAAAAAAATGATACCTTCAGAGGTTTGAAAGAGCAAATTTTGAATCTTTCCCAGGAACAATTTGGATCTGAAAATCCAAATAAAAAATTAATTGGGGGTGAAATCAGCAGGAAAGAAATCTAGGGTTTGGTTTGGTCTTCTCTGAAAGTGAACGGCCAAGAGTCCCACTTGCAAAGATCTCTCTCTCCCTCTCCCTCTCCCCATACAAATATAAAAGAAATATTTTTGCTTCCCTCTTTTTGGAGGAACAAATTGAAAAAAAAAAATTGTTTGTGTATATTTTTGGAAATTAAAAATTCGAAAAACAGTAAAAAAAGAAGAGGATAAGGTTGGCCAGTAGACTTCCCAGTAATGCCAACTGGCCCTTTATGCTTGAAAGCTTTCCCCACGCGCGTATACTCCCGCGTGCCCAGGATCTGGTGACGTGGCCAAATCCTACACTTGCGTTGGCATCTCACACTCTGTTTGAAAAGCGGCGGGGACACGTCGTCTTTGTATTTCGTAACCCACCGCCCGGGTCCACGCGTCGCCGAATATATATCCACTCGGTTAAAATTATCCACTGTTTTCGCGTTCAGGATAAATATCTGCCCTCATTGGTAATTTTTTTTAAATTTTTTTTAACAAACGGTATTATGTAAGCTCAAAGGCGCAGTCGCTAACTCTTCATAAAAGAAATAGGTAATAATGTAGATTAAATTCGTTTTCTATGAGAATTCAACCAAAGTCTTTTTACTTACAAATAAAAATAATAATACTTAGACCGTAATACTAAGTTGGGCATTGAAAATTATTTTAAAAAAAAAATTGGAATAACGTTGGTGATTGGTGGGGGGGCACAAAAAGTGCCTTTTGTGCAATTTGCCACATGGTGCCATATAATAAATACGAAAAATACGGATAAGGCGATGCCAAAGAGGTGATGACGTCATCGGTGACGTCACCAAATAGTACCACTTGGCAGGCACGTGGTTTTGGCGCGGACAGGAAACATATGTGGGCATAGGGGAATTTACTAGTAAGGGTATGATATTCACATACCCTATTTTACTTCTCACACCTCTTTTTAATTTTCGGGCTTCGGATTGGATGAATTGAAGAAAATTAATGGACAAAAATTAACAAGAAGTGTGTAGGAAGTAATTTGAAGTGTGTGGAGATCACACCCCTACTAGTATACCACCCACTTTAAACTACATTTCACACTATATTCGAGGTAATTTTGTAAATAGGTCAAATGGTTTTAATTTTTTGCATTCTAAAATTTGGAAATTGTTTCAATTTACCCATTTTCTTTCAATTTACACCTTTTGTCTGATGAAATAATTGAATCTACAATAACTGATGACATGGTGAGTATGAAACTCGTAATTACAGTGACAGTAAGCAACATTTGCACTACATTAACAAAAACACTCATCACCTTAATGAATAATAGCGAAGGCCACACACTCTATGTGTGAAAAATATATTTTTTTTTCTCAAATATTGTTTTTAAATTTTATTTTTTATTTTTTATGGGAGGAGTTATTGTTTTTAACGGGTTGACAGACATCTAAAAAAAAGGGGTTGGCAATTAAGAAGAGAGAGAGAGTGTGAGTTTATAGAGGATAATGATAGTATGACATGACTGTGAGGTTAAAAAACATCACAATTTGTTTGTGCGAAATTTACTGCTCATGTGTTTTTTTTCTAATATTTTTGTTTCATTTATGTATTGAAGATTAATTTTATTAGTTTTTAGGTAACAAAAAGAATTATATTAATATGTAGTTTAGATTAAACGTTCAAATATTTAAAAAGTGAAATTGATACAATTTCAAAATCTTATAGGGCAATGTGAAACGGTGCATGCAAACTTTTGTGAGAACTTTTAGGGTAGCGAGTCATATAGCAAAATAATTACAATAATTTGATGGGAACTTATTATCTACGAGAGTCGATTTTAAAATATTTCGCTACACAATATTACGAAGTAGCAGAATAATATTCTAATAAGTCACTTTCACACAATCTCATCTCTCGACTCAAATTGTAGTATTGATTTTTTACTAAAGATAGTTTAGAAGAAATGTATGCCAACTGAGTCGTGAATCATCAGGTGATTGTTTTTGGTACAATAAAATATCTCGTGATGAATAGGGGAGATATTGAAAATGTGGATATAAATTTACATGGTTGGGGTTAAAAAGATGGGAAGTGGGAAGCAAATGCAATGTCGTTTTCCTCCCAGCTGGATTTGTTTTATGCGTCCGAATAATACTTGGATTGTTCTTGAAAATAAACCAAGGAATGAGAGGGAATAATGGTGAAGACCATGACCGTATGGTGTGATGGCCTTTCTCTCATTTGACCAGCATAGAATATGCTTTTGCTTTGCTTACCTAATTTTTCATGCATGGAGAAGGTGAGGGTCAGTGCAATGCTTTGGAATAAGATAATGTCGCTATTCAATTAAGTCTCATACATTATTTGTTGTCACACGAAACTATTATTTTAGTTTTTCAATTAAAATCGGATATTTCTTGTCAATCTACGAATCTCCTCGAATTAAAATCCTGCTCTTATTTTATCTACTTGTTTCGAGTTCAAATTCTCCCTCTCATGTTTTTTACAACATTTCTATCAATTGTTTCAGCCAATGTCGTTCGTCCATGTGACCTGAACTCGAGAATTCCTCCAACAACTTATTGGCTCAAGTTCATCTTTTGAATTCGAGGAAAATACGCTTCCATTTGACCATTTGTTGTAATTCATGGTTGAGTTACTTTCAAAGCTTATGGTCTCTCCATTGCATAATTCCTTCGAGTCGAAACTCGGACAGACCAAAAAATGTCATCGGGAACGATTGTGTTCTGGTTGATCTAGCCGTTAGTTGTGAGGGAGTGGAAGGAGACCTATGGATGGATGCCGATATTTGGAGCCGTTGCTGCAATTGCAGCGGCTTTTTCGACCGGTGCCAACAATCTTCCGTCTCCGGTTTGTGCATTTTCATTAGGGTTCATGTGGATACCTATTAGCTAATCACATTGTTATGCACATTTTTTATGTTCATAGATATATTATAGCATCTGACGTTTGTCTTTTGTTTGATGTTTTTCAGTTTTCGACACCTATTGGGTCGGGGAGTTTGACACTTCTGAAGGCATTTGAAGCAGCCTTTGCCAGTTGCGGTAGTTTTGTGAATGATCTGTTTTCTGATGTACGGATTAAGACACTTCCATTTCAACTCTATTTTACGTCCAAAGAAATTGTACGTTACAACACGGATTTTCCTACCGCGCATTTAATTGAACTTTTTAAACTATGGATATGTCATGTAAATTATTAATAGTGTTGATACTTCAACCTTATATTTGTCGATATGTCGTTAATAAACTTGGGATTCTCCGCCTTTTACTTTTCGCCGACATTTTTTTATTCTCCTAAAAAGAAAAAGTCAAAGCAGCAGACCTGTAGTCCCATTATCCACCTTTAAAGACATTTTTAAAGAATATTATGAGAAAGTGCAATTAACCGCTCTATAGAAGGATTGGCGTATAATTTAGCTAATAGAGTTCTCCATATCCCCAGTTTCTCAAGGAAAATCAGCCTAGTGAAGGCTTGTTGATGTGGAGTATGGTAGTTGTTGTAGAAACCGCAGGTATATTCAAAGACTTGCTTATTGCTGATATTTATTTTATACGTTCTTTTTGTCATGCCTATAAATTTTTTACAGCAATTTGGCTTGCTCTGGCTACATATTTGCAGCTGCCAGTCTCACCTCAGCAGTCAATGCAGGGTGCCCTATTGGGAACTATACTTGTTACTGAAGGTTTTAGCTACATACCCTTGCGGAATAAGGTAAGGAGGTATACAGATTAGGTCGCTTAAGTAAGACGTTCCACACGAAAAATTTACGAGAGGTTGAAAAATGTAAATGATTTCACTTCGTTTTGGTAAAACAATATCCTGTTTGCGCTATTCATTTCCAAAACATGTAAGTCCTTGATGTCAAATGCTTAAGCTTGACTTGTTTTTCGCTATAATCTTTCGTTTCTTATTCTCGAGGGATTGTGAAATGCAGAATGCAAATCACAATTTCAATCGTGGAGGACTTCTGTGGATATTTCTTGAACGGACTGTTGCTCCATTCATTGCCTTTGCATGTGTACTCTTCCTCTTCAGCGTAATGAAGGCTTCTCTGCTTCACCGTGAAAATGTCGAAAAAAGGTTCTTGTTCTTTTCCCGTTTGGCTATGAATATCTGCAGGATTGCTTTGCCTCTTTTTCATGATTCGGGTAAATTTTCTCGGCGTAATGAGTAGTGTAACCATTCGTTATGCATTGCATTTTATTTTGTCAATTTTTTGATGTGAACTTTTTTCATTCTTCAACATTATCAATATCTTCCATCTTCATTGCTGTTCATATTGCAGGTCATACCGTCTACAAGTGCAGTTCACAGTAGGGTTACTGTTGTTGCAGTTGCCCTGGCCGCCATGACTGGAGCACTATTATCCTTGGTATGTACAACATCAGATTTTTTTAAAACCTTCCTTTCCCTTCTATATGTTCAACCTTAATTCGGATCTCTAAGAAACAGGGTTTGGTGATTCCTTTAGCCATGAAGAAAGTCAATGCAGCCAAAATTTACAAGACCGTGAAGAGAAACATGTCTAAATCCATAAACCAAAAGTCTACAGAAAGCCAAGAACAAACCTGTATTAGTACAAAATCTTCGGATGACGGAGCACAGTCTGAAGAAGCCTTGAAAGATTTCCTGCAGATGAGAGTCCTTGGTACTGTGTACGAAGAAGAGGATGAGAGGAGCTGGGCTTAACCGGACTCAATACAAGAACCTGAACCTGCGCCTACTCCTGATCATTCTGCTTTCGAAGATAAGTCTAATACGGAGAAACCTAGGTCATTTAGGCAGTTGCTTGAGTCTTCAAACAAGGCACTTTCACAAGATTGAAAAAACACCACCGGTTGAGAACTCCTTTCGGTTCATAAGAGGCCATCAAAATCAGCTTTTTGTTCTCATGTAAGACCTATACATACGTATTTCATTCTTGCCTGAATGTGCGGTTCAGATTCACATTACCTTATATCACGCTAACCTTCATGCTTATGTGACGGAATAGGTAAACGAGTATGACAGACAAACTCTTGTTCTAGCTGAAAAATATGATGATGTGGAAGGCTTGTTCATCTTACCACAGATTATAGCTTCGTGTATCTTCACGTAAGTTCATTTCTGCCCCGAAAAACCAAAAACACTAAGTTCATTGATGTAAAATATAGTGAAGATATTGACACTATGTTCTTGCAAGCTTATTCAATCCGCTAATGAAGTAGCTGCCATTGTGAGTCCATATGGAGCTATTCTTGATGTATTTCGACACAAAATACTCCGGAAATGGAGAATATGTGGTGAGTTATTGACTGTATATAACCATGTGTCTATCACTGTTTTCTGTATCTTATCATCTTGACGATCAAATACTTGATACTTGCAGGAATCCATCCAATTGAATTGGTGGTTTAAGGCGATTGCCGGATTTGGTGCAGCAGTTGGTTTCTTGATCTGTGGCAGGAGGCTGACACAATGCCTAGGTGGAAGCTGAGTTATATAAGCAACTCAAGAGCACAATGCCTAGGGGGAAGCTGAGTTATATAAGCAACTCGAGAGGCTTGGCAGCACAATTGTCCACTGTGGCAGCAATGATTTTGGTTCATAAGATTAAGCTTCCCGTTTCAAGTGTTCATGTTTTTGTTGGATCGTTAGTAGGATTGCAGGAGTCTTCTCGGTGTCTATACACTCCCCAGCCTACGTGGTGCCCTAAATCTGTCCCGAATTGTTCTATCAATAATTTCATAAATACCACCCAAATAATTTAATTTGACAATTTACCAACAATAAGGGCTTACTTATTAATTAGAGAGGATGTACCACTTCCATAATTTTTAACCCAACTTTTTATGAAAGAGTATCATAAGTCATATAAGCAAGCCCCTCCTTAAAGGCATTTTCGTGACTTCACGACCTCAACATAACTTCTTGTAAAAATATTAAAGCTTATCAGTATAACATAATTGTCACTAACTCTATTTGGCTTCTGTTGTGTCATGAGCTTTTAATAAATGCTACTCTTACCCCAAGTCGTTTAAAAAACATGAAATAATAAAACCACTCTTCACCGGGAGGCACAAGTAACGAGACAACATATTTAAAAAATTAATGACAATTAATAAAAGTGATACATTTTGCATAAAAAGAAAGATTTGAACTACCTATGATGATTGAAAATTCCTTGAGAGATCAAAAAGATATTAAAGCACACTTTTGTATTTTAATGTTATTTTTTATGATAAAAATATCACCGAGCCGTAAAAATATTTTTTAAAACGGTACGACAAAATGCCTTTCTAGCCCTTGCAAAATATAAAAACCTTGTCAACTTGAGATCGCTCTTTAGATATTTTACGACACTTAAAAGAAGTTAGATTAGCCCACAATTTTCTACTAAAAAAGGATGTTCTTAGTCAAATCGTGGGTCCCACGAGATCACTGTGTGGCGAAAGGCCATCGTTGATTCGAATCCTCACCGTTCATCAAAGAGATTCAGAATCTCACGTGCCAAAAGTTGCCAGGTGGCTCCGGGGTCCGTCTTTCTTCGAGATCTCTGGTCGTGGCGTGCTGCGAGTTCAAATCCCATTTAAATTCTTCAACTTATCTCTTAAAAAAAATTAAAAACTAAAAATAAATCAAGTTGAAAGACCACGTATCACTGAAATAGGTAGGGCATTGGCAGGTCGCAGCGGTTGGGGGTGCGAAAGATTTGACTCGTCTGCTGCTCCTTTCTCATTGTATATAACACTTTCGGCCAGCATCTCTCTCTCTCTCCAAACAACCAAACAATGGCGGCGGCTGTGTCATCACCGTGCTCCCCTTCACTAGTGGCCCAGAAACCGAGTTTCCGAGTGGATTTCCGGCATGGGTTTTCCACAAGCTTCGATTTTGGCCGCCAGAGGCCGCTCAAATGGAAGAGTTACGGGCTGAAGAAGCTGGTTGTTTCTGCTAGCACCGGCAATGCTGTTTCTGTCAGTGATTCTGTGCCTTCATTGACTAGTTCTAAGTGAGTACTCTTCGTTATTAAATTTGTTTTTTCTCTAATTTACGTTCAATTCTTTCTGGGTTTTCTTTGAATGCAATGAAGCTTTCATTTTTTGGTAGTTTTGTGCCCTTTTTGGTTGAAATTTGCTTGCTTTTATTCTTGGGTTGAGCTGAAAATTTGTGGGCTTTTATTCTTGGATTAAGTGCTTTTGTATAGAATAGAACTGTTTTAACATTGTTATTTTTGCCTTTATTTATTAAACATTTAGTGACCAACATATATATTTTTCCCTCGGCGGGTATTGGCTTTGATAATTTAATTGTTCCAACCAATCTGTTTTTTTTTTTTTTTTTTAAAGCTTTGGTAAATCGACTTTGATGGTGACCAGAACCAAATTTTATATTCAATTTTTTAACTTGAGTTAAAAAGAATTAAAAAGAATGTACCAATGGAGTGAAAAACTGATTTGGGAGTTATACTTTTATGGCAAGTTGTTGACCCTAAAATCTACCAAGCCTACGTGGCGCGCAGGCCGAGTATATTCTAAGCTAACTACGTCCTTCGGTGATTGCGGGGCGTGCCAACTCGTCGGCCGAGCTCGGCCGAGGAGTAAATTTGATGATGTTGCGTTGAGCGCGCTGCTGACTTCTGTGTCTTGCGATTGCGGCCGAGGAAGGAACAATTCTCGGCCTCTTGGGTTCTAGAGCCTGAAGACAAGGCTGCTAATTTGTGAAGTTCAATCTCAAATTCGGCTGTCAATGTGCCGAATACAGTAACCTGGTAACACCCCACTTCGCCGAGAAGGCTGATGAGATGACCTCGACCAATGAGGATTCGGAAATCCTTCTCGACCGAGACTTGGATAGGTAACCAGTCGTCCTCGCCGTAGTGCTGTTGATGCCAACGGAAGATGCTGCGAGATCGGCTGATTCTACGGTGACAGAGCTATCTATGCCGACTTAAGATATCACCGGTTGCCTTCACAGTGCTGTTGATGCCAACGGAAGATGTGTCGGCGAAAAAAGAAAATAAAAAATCTCAAGGTGTTGAGAAAGTTTGCGCAGGGCAGTTTTGTGTGTGTTGGAGGTCCCTTGAATGATGCACAGCCTCCTCTATTTATAGCACTAGATACCTTTGAAGTCGAGTCAAAACCCTACTCGAACTAGGTCTTCTTCTCCGGATCAAACACCCACTCGACCAGTCCTATGTTTACTAGGATTGTGAGCCTAGTCCTCTATTGAGCCGGATTCACTTCCGGGTTATTACCCTTGCCGAGACTACTTATCGCGTTAGGACTCGACTAGTAAATGTAATATGACCTAGCCGACCTAGGTTTAGGAGCCCCACGTACTAAATGATCCAAGGCTCCCCTGTCGCCAGGCCTCCCGGGCCGAGAGTGGTTCTATACTCGGCCCAACATGTTAATTTGAGCCCAAACACTCTTACTTGAAGATATAATTTGCATCATATCCATCCCGTTTAAGAATATGTCAAGATAATTCAAATTAAAAAGATAATCATGATAAAAACCATAATATTATTATCTTTTAACAAAAATATTTTCACTTTTCCATCCGACGGCTGAGAACTATGTTTTACTCTACGGTCTCGATTACACGGGCCGATGATGTAAATTTGGGTCCAAACATTGCCCCCCAGTTTCCTTGAACTTCGGCTCGTAAGCCGAATGATTAAGGAAATTAAGTATCTCCAGCCTAATCAGATGTACTTTTGACCGTCATCCCTTGCTGCTGTTTACTCTCACGGCTCCTTTCGACCAAAGAACAACTCATGGCCGAAGATAAACAGTTATGAACCAGGGTCGAGAAGAATTGGAATTGGGGTCGAGGATAAATTTGGCCGAGGTCGAGAAGAGTCTTTTCTTGGCAGCTCGGCCTGCCTACATATATATGCATATCAAACCCATTGTCAGCAATCATGACTATATACATATATATATATATATATATATATATATATAAACCTCAAAACAGCAACCATGACTTATTCGGCCAAACTTTGACCCTAGCATCTTCCTGATTAAATGGTTTTGAAACTTGTCCCCACACTTTAACCATAGGCATGGTACTATTGATAGCAGCGAAAATAACTCTTCTCGGGTCGGCTTGTTTGTCGAGCTCGGCTAAAAACAAAATGACCAAAATTTTGCCGAGCACACCACTTGTTGCCCCTCTTATTTTCTTAAGTATCGGTCAAGGGCCGAATGGTTAAGAAAATAAAAAAATAATTTATTATATATAATTATATTTTTAGCAAACGAAAAGAAAAGTGGCCGAAACGTAGTCAGGAGGAGGCCAACGATGCTTTATTCCAAGCCAAGATCTTTTTACATCAAAATTTTCACTTTGACATTTTCCAAAACCGAATAAAAGATCATCTCCCAATATTTCTGACTTGGTGAAATATTTTGCATTTTCGGCCGCCGAATGTGTGGAACAAGTATTATGCCCCCCAGGCATAATTTCGGCGTTTAATTCAAACAACTTAGCCGAATAGGATTTCTCCATATCGACTTTATCGCCAAAATCATCATATCAATTGGCGTAGATTCTTGGGCTAGGCCAATATCTCGGCCTCGTTCGTCATTGGAGCACTCCTCTGACGAATCATTTTCTGAGTCGATTTGTGGCTCAGAAACTTTAACTTTTTCTTCTAGGCCTACCACACTTCCAGTCTCGACCGACCGAAAAAATAGGTGGCCTAGGTTTTTCTTCGTGGCCGACCCATATCTTCAGCCTCGACCGAAAAAATAGGTGGCCTTTGTTCTTCGGCCAAATTAACAATTTTCTTAGGCCGATGTCTGATTACGGCCGGAGCGAAAAATTGCCCCCCGGCCTTTGAGCCTAACCATTTTTCAAATGGAATTGATCTGTAATCAGAAACGTAAGGAAAATTTTCTTCATCTAGCCAGGCATTAAATCGAGCCCTGTCTTCATTTACCCATTGCCTTTGCAGGGTAACAGGAGCTTTTATTCTCAACATGCAAGCGAATGACTTTTGCATCTCTCCATGGCCACGAAGAACTTTTTCCACTTCCAAAGATCTTTTACATTCCTCATTGTGTTTTCTCAATTCCTCTAGGAGCTCGTACAATCGGCTACGTTGAGCCAGATTGGAATCTTGATATATCATATGAACTTCGTAGTATTAGCACTGGGTCCCACCGGGCGTGCCAAAATGTTGACCCTAAAATCTACCAAGCCTACGTGGCGCGCAGGCCGAGTATATTCTAAGCTAACTACGTCCTTCGGTGATTGCGGGGCGTGCCAACTCGTCGGCCGAGCTCGGCCGAGGAGTAAATTTGATGATGTTGCGTTGAGCGCGCTGCTGACTTCTGTGTCTTGCGATTGCGGCCGAGGAAGGAACAATTCTCGGCCTCTTGGGTTCTAGAGCCTGAAGACAAGGCTGCTAATTTGCGAAGTTCAATCTCAAATTCGGCTGTCAATGTGCCGAATACAGTAACCTGGTAACACCCCACTTCGCCGAGAAGGCTGATGAGATGACCTCGACCAATGAGGATTCGGAAATCCTTCTCGACCGAGACTTGGATAGGTAACCAGTCGTCCTCGCCGTAGTGCTGTTGATGCCAACGGAAGATGCTGCGAGATCGGCTGATTCTACGGTGACAGAGCTATCTATGCCGACTTAAGATATCACCGGTTGCCTTCACAGTGCTGTTGATGCCAACGGAAGATGTGTCGGCGAAAAAAGAAAATAAAAAATCTCAAGGTGTTGAGAAAGTTTGCGCAGGGCAGTTTTGTGTGTGTTGGAGGTCCCTTGAATGATGCACAGCCTCCTCTATTTATAGCACTAGATACCTTTGAAGTCGAGTCAAAACCCTACTCGAACTAGGTCTTCTTCTCCGGATCAAACACCCACTCGACCAGTCCTATGTTTACTAGGATTGTGAGCCTAGTCCTCTATTGAGCCGGATTCACTTCCGGGTTATTACCCTTGCCGAGACTACTTATCGCGTTAGGACTCGACTAGTAAATGTAATATGACCTAGCCGACCTAGGTTTAGGAGCCCACGTACTAAATGATCCAAGGCTCCCCTGTCGCCAGGCCTCCCGGGCCGAGAGTGGTTCTATACTCGGCCCAACATGTTAATTTGAGCCCAAACACTCTTACTTGAAGATATAATTTGCATCATATCCATCCCGTTTAAGAATATGTCAAGATAATTCAAATTAAAAGATAATCATGATAAAAACCATAATATTATCTTTTAACAAAAATATTTTCACTTTTCCATCCGACGGCTGAGAACTATGTTTACTCTACGGTCTCGATTACACGGGCCGATGATGTAAATTTGGGTCCAAACACAAGTGTAGCAAAATTAAAAAATACAGGCGATGGTTGTGTCAATGAGGAATGATTAGTTCATTTCTATAGTTTTGGCAACGATGATTTGGAATCCCAGGTCGTGGACCTGGAAGTCTATTTTGATATTTTGTCATGAATGTGCTAGAAATTTTTAATCTGGAAAGAATTTAGGGTGATTTCAAGTTTTCAATTCTAATTCTATAATGATTTCAGGGTCAAGCGCCATACGATTTCAGTGTTTGTTGGGGATGAGAGTGGAATCATAAACCGAATAGCAGGGGTTTTCGCCAGGAGAGGTTACAATATCGAGTCTCTTGCTGTTGGTTTGAACAAGGACAAGGCTCTTTTTACCATAGTTGTGTCTGGAACTGGAAAGGTTTTGCGACAGGTCGTTGAACAGCTTAACAAGTTGGTGAATGTGATAAAGGTTAGTGGACATCTTTAGTATTTTGTTTAAAACCTTTTGGTAGTTTTTGCATTATCTTCACTTATACTTCTGCTTTATCAGGTCGAAGACATCTCAAGGGAGCCACAAGTAGAACGTGAATTGATGCTTATCAAACTTAATGCGGATCCAAGTACACGTGCAGAGGTAAATTTTGGACCATCCAACCAATATTTGGATAGACCTATTCCTGTTGATACGTTTAAATGATCCACCCTAAGAATAATCATCAGTAATATGAGGTTTTAATTCATCGTGTATAATTCTCTATAGATAATACCAAAAGATGTAATTGTTCCACAGAACTTGTTGATTTGTTATACATCCTTGGTTGATCTCTATTATATATATATATATATATATATCTGATTTTGGGCCCATCAACCACGTGTGTATTAGACTATTAGGCTGTTGTGCTCTGCAATGGTTATGTATTGCAGGCTTCACTGATGTGGTTACCTTATATTTGTTGCAGGTGATAATTCTTGGAATTAAACCATTAAACTGAAGTTAACTTCTAGTTTGATGATGGTTATCAGCACTGTTTGAGATACTCTTTTATCATTTTAGTCATTATTTTACCTGATAATGTTCCTTTGTGTGTATTTTCAGATAATGTGGTTAGTGGACATCTTCAGAGCAAAAATTGTTGATATCTCGGAACAGTCGCTGACAGTTGAGGTGAATTTTGATCCTTATGCCTCAACTAGTTGTTGCAGTTTGTTGATGTGTTCATTTTAGCACATATACTTAATTGTCTATCCCAGTTGATAACTTAGGTGTCACTTTAGCACATATACTTAATTGTCTGTCCCGGTTTATAACTTAGGCACCCAGGCACCTATAACCTTACAGATGACGAACTTGTTGAGAATTTTATCTGGAGGATACATTCTGATTAATGAGGCAAAAACCATTACAGTTTGTTATAATGCACTAGTTCTTGTTGATTGTGGTATAAAATTATAAAGCAATTAAGTTGTTTATTTGTTTTCTTATTTTCTCTGATAAAAACAATGCAACAGTTATCTAGAAAAGGAGTATATTAAGTCATAATGACAATGCGTTATAACATTTTAGAATAATTTCTCAATGTTAGATTAGTTAAACTGGTGAAGTCATGAATTTTGTTTATAATGTGATTTAACCGTACTCCATGAGCAGTTGATGTCATTTTGTTGTTTGGTTCGCTCAACCTACATTTGTAGCTCTAGGAAATTTTATAAATTGTTTTAGCCAATATCCTTTTGCCATACAAAGTGTGTGCAAACTTGTAATTTTTTTATGGCCTCTTATAGTAATTCTGGTACCAAGTCCATCTATGCTTACAAAATCAGTTCATCTCAGGTTACTGGAGACCCTGGGAAGGTGGTTGCTGTTCAAAGAAACTTAAGCAAGTTTGGAATCAAAGAACTTGCAAGAACTGGAAAGGTAAGTTGTATATTTGCATTCTGATGTTTATGCGTATACAAAGATGTCCATTTATGCATGTGTTAATGGGTGCAACCCTCTAAAACAACGCCATGCAGTGTGTCATATGTGTATGATATCCAATAATTAAACGGTTCTTGAGTGGCCAAAGAACTTGAACTGTCAAGTTGTTCACGACTAACAATATGGAATGGTATTCCTGAAATGCTTGATTTCTCTTGTATATCTTCTCCCAAAATGCATTTTGAACTTGCAATCAAGTTCTCTGCGTGTTATATGTAAATGCAAGAGCAAGCATTTTTGTTCTTGTCTTTTCAGTTTTCACATATGTGCTTCCATTTATTTTAAACGATGCATATCAGGGTGGTCAGGTAACTATGCTACAGTCTAGATGTTGACACTTTTTTTTCTCTCTTCAATCTTTATTGCATTACGCAAGTATCATCTAATTTGACTCTTTTAACAGATTGCTTTGAGACGAGAAAAGATGGGTGCGACAGCTCCTTTCTGGAGATTTTCTGCAGCTTCTTATCCAGATCTTGAAAAGTCCACGTCTGATGATGACCTTGCAGTGAAAGCAAATGGTACACTCAATGGTGATGCTGGTACCGCCTCAAGGGTATATATGTTGTTCTTTTTCTATCAAGCTGATTTCATATGCGCAGTTAATATCTCTGCGGGCATGGTATTTAATTCTGATATATGTGGAATCATTTTTGGTAAGGCTGAAAGAGGTTCTCCTATCATATATTGGGTGCCCTGTTCACAATACATTCCAGATAATGTTTAGTTATTTATATGCCGCACAACAAAGTATGTTGTCCTTCATTAACTGTTATAATTTACAACGATAACATGTAGGTGCACAACTTTTACTCTTGTCTTGGCCATTTTGGATTGAACATAATTGAACCTCATTTCATTATTGCAGGGAGATGTTTATCCTGTCGAGCCCTATGATGACTTCCGTTCGAATAAAGTTCTTGATGCTCATTGGGGTGTTCTCTATGATGAAGATGTAAGTTTCTTTACAATATTCAAATCACGTTGTGTTTCACTTTAAGTCCAAATATTGCCTGGTATGAGACACACAAGGTGGAAAAAGTCGATGTATCTGCTTAGGAAGTAGGTTCTACATATTTAATTCATGTTTGTTTTACTCTACAAATTGAAACCTAACCTGTGGCATTCATTTTAATCTGCAGTCAAGTGGGGTTCAATCCCACACTTTGTCTATGATTGTGAATGACTCTCCTGGGGTTCTAAACATAGTTACAGGAGTCATATCTCGAAGAGGTTATAACATTCAGGTTTGTTGGTTCTGATTTGCGCTCACTTTTTATATTTGGTATTCTTGGGCCTTTGCTCATGTGATTATTGGATTTCATTTCATACTCCTAGAGCCTAGCTGTGGGGCCCGCTGAAAAGGAGGGGCTTTCTCGCATTACAACAGTTGTTCCCGGTACAGAGGATTCAATTTCCAAGTTGGTTCAGCAACTTCACAAGTTAATAGATCTTCATGAGGTGAGGGTTGCTGAACTTACATGTTCACAAGTTTCTTTTGAGAATTTAGAATATTCATTTTGGTTGATGATTGAGTAATCTATTAAAGAAAACTTAAAATTGTTAGATTTTGGCTATTTGGAAGATATACAAATTTTGTTCGTAGTTATGGAGTTACAATATTCAAACATACAAATTATATAATCTATTGACAAAGCTTGTACACGTTTGAAACTCTGCATGTTCGATTCTAATCACCTTTTGCAAGTTAAAAGCCATTGTTTTGGTAGCAGTCTGATCGATGTGGAAGGTTGGGGTTGATGACTAAAGTAGTACTATGAGTCTAGGGCCCAGGACCCAGGATCTATTTTTCCCTTTTTTTTTCCCTCTCCATATTTAAGTGAATCAAAATATGCTCCTCAGTTATCTCAGTCACTGATAATAGGCAGCCTTGATAATATGATCCTTACCCATTTCAACATTGATGAGTTAATGAATTTTAATCTTGAGATGATGAAATTTTTCCAAGGTTATTCTCAAAATAAGATTTGTTCGTGCCTTCACGGATGATGACGCTGGTTGTTTCTCCAGGTTCGGGATATTACTCACTCACCTTTTGCTGAGCGAGAGTTGATGTTGATAAAGATTGCTGTGAACGCTACTGCTAGAAGGGATGTTCTTGATATTGCCAGCATTTTCCGCGCTAAAGCTGTTGATGTATCTGATCACACAGTTACCCTTGAGGTTGAAGCCTTGTCCTGCATTACTATGATACTATCTACATATTGTGATTATTATTATTATGAATTAGTGTAACGGAATCTGTTGAGAAGTTCTACCTTCGAACAGGATCAATTTCACTGTAATTTTTGTATTTAGTTCTACCAATAAATGCTGTTACTGCTAGTCTTACTAAAATTTACTCATGATTGTTTTCAGCTTACTGGTGATTTGAATAAAATGGTTGCACTGCAGAAGTTACTAGAGCCCTACGGGATTTGTGAGGTTTGTCTTCTCATTCTTTTGTTGGTCTTGTACTGATCAGTTAATTAGCATATAAATTTTCAGGTTTTCACATGAGCTCGGTCCTCATATCTTAACATTTTTCCCCTCCTTGAAGGTTGCACGGACTGGGAGGGTGGCGTTGGAGCGGGAGTCTGGTGTGGATTCCACATATCTCCGCGGATACCCTCTTCCATTGTAATGCTGAGTTCCTCATCCGCTTCCTATCATGGCTGGCCAGGTTATGTGCGGTTTTTCCGGTCCATTTCGACCAGCTCACTTTGTGCCTATTAGCCATATGATAAGGAATAAAAATCCAGTTGGGCTGTTAGGTCTCAGGGAAGAGTGAATCAACATGCATGGAAGTTCAAGTCTCTGAATGTTTTCTCCTTTTTTCTTTACTCTACGAGGAGGGATCGACCAACCTCTAACTTGAAGGTTGTCGATAAACCCTGGATAGAGGATCCGACTCCCGCGACCCTTGTATTTGGTAAGCCGAAGCATTGCGTTCGAGGGTGTTTGAACCTCATGTCCCCATGCTGGTTAAAGTTAAGAAGCTAGAGTGTACGAGTGTTTTAAGACATAGGAGGTTATTCAGTTTGTGTTGTATCAGTGTAACAAACACATGTGTGAACATCTTAGACGCTCTTCTAATCAAATATAAGGATAGAACAAAACTCTTATTGTTCGTTTTCGCCTGTTTGAAACAAATGGCATGAATATTCAGAAGCAAACACGGCTGAAATCATTGGAACTCAGCATTGATGCAGAGAAGAAAGGAGAAACCGAGAAAAGAACCCGACTTGTCAAAATCCCAAGTGAAAGATATCAGATTCGACTTTGCTCTCCATGCCGGAGAAGTATCGCTGAAACCAATCGACAATAGCCTAAAAAGTGCAACCACAAAAGCTTGGAACACCAAACAGAAGCTAAAAGCTTAGCTCGCTTACTCTCTTCTGAAGCAAAAGGCAAATCCGGGTGAAGAGAAAAACAGAACCAACTTCACAGAAAAATAGTAAAAAATAAGACAAAAAGAAATGGCCCATACAGGTCTCGAACCTGTGACCTTCGCGTTATTAGCACGACGCTCTAACCAGCTGAGCTAATAGGCCGGTTGATGTTGTGTTCGCTTTTTCTATATTTAATTGAACGAAATTGTCGGAACGATAGAAATTTCCTGGTTCAATAATTTTAAGAATCATACAGTTACTACCCTTTTGATTAGAAATTCTCCTAAAGCTTGTCCACTGGATAAGATCTGATCGATGGTTGTCGTTGTGGGTAGTTGGGTTGTTGCTGCTAGTGCTTCGATTGGTTGCATTCTACTCTCCAAAAGTATGCGATGCATGCAATCTTGGTTGAATTACACCTCCTTAAATTATTGGTTTCAGAAGAAGCCTCTCATCAACTCATCCCAAAGCACTTCCATCTTCAAAAGTGCGGTACAATGACAAATCAAATCAAATCACATCAAATAACATTTGTCCCTACCATGCAAGTTGCAACGTGCAACAACAAAAAAGAAGAATTGGTACTTAAAACTCAAAAGCATGTAATCAGGAACTTAATTATAAAACAATCTGGTACATTAATTGTTATAATACGATTAGTTAGAATTTTTAAGTTTATAACCAATTTTATTATTATTTTTTATGTACCGGATCGTGTTTTCGTAACACTAAAAAATTTCTCCAATTTATCAATTAAACCATTTCATTCACTCTTTCGTGAATTTCAAAATCGAAATGATGGTAGTAGGATGCTGAAATCTTACCATTGACAAAATGAGAAAGAAATGCATATTGACTAGTATATGATTGTGAACTATGAGCTTTTATATAGGCTAAATTCAATGTTTAAAGTTAGGGTTACAAACAAGAACATGTACATCATGGAAAGAAAACATCGCCGCCGACGAAATTAGTTATCTTATTTCTCCAAAATTTTCATTTATATTCTATGCTAACGTCTATCCAAGAAGTCACGTTATGTACAATATCATTTAGTTGCTCCCATTCCATGCATATAAAAGCCACCGCAGATGGCATGCTATTCAGGTCACTATCAAAACTCTAAATGCTGTATCATGCACTCCGTCTGTTGGAAACCCTTTTCTTCTTCTTAACCAGTATATTAATATTTCTCTTAGTTTTGGCACCCATGGCATCTGCAAGTCGAACCTACCCAACACCAAATGTACCGGATTATAAAAGCCAAGGCGCTTCGGAGAAGCCTGCAGCTGTGCCTCGGCTGGTGTTGTTAGATTTGCAGGAGAGGCTAGTGGCTGTTTTTCATCATGTTCTTTCTAAGCGTCCTGTCCCGCCTTCTAGTCCAAGTCATAGAAGTAACAAGGCTCCTAATTCCTCAAGGCATTTGTTATAAATTAGTCCATGATTTAGCTCAGTAGTTGTATTAGTTTGCAGTTTTTAGCTTGTGGCCTTATCTTCCGATATGGAAGGAAAATGAGGCCTTGAACTTTTGTGGGTTTCTCCAGCCCTAATTGAATGTACCAGGAACATGTTGTAGACATCGAAATTTCGGTAAATAAATGTTGACCGATAAATCAAAGTGTCAACGCTCATGTATTACATAAATTTTACACGTAGCGTGTGACTCAACGAAAATTGAAATGAGTTGGAAAAGTCATCAAATAGGACACGTGTCAACACCTGGCAGAAACGACTTATTTCATCTGGGATATTATATTCAAAATTAGGCATTGGAAAATTCTATAAATACAAGCCCATTTCATTCATTTCAAGGGGAAAAAATTCATATTACACCTTAAAGCTCTGAAGCTCTGAAACTCCGAAGCTCTCAAGCATCCAAGTTCCCGAAGAATCAAGAAAGCCTTCTTCGTTCTTCGTTCATCGTTCTTCCAAGATCAAGCCCCGGCGGCCCTTGGATCAACAATCATCCACCAATTCAAGATCAAGCCCCGACGGCCCTTGAAGAAAGTGTTCTTCGTTCATCGTTCTTCCAAGATCAAGCCCCGACAGCCCTTGAAGAAAGCACCATCGTTCATCATCCGTTCATCCAAGATCAAGCCCCAACGGCCCTTGGGATCAACAAACGTCGACAAATCCACACACATCCAACCGTTCTTCAAGATTAAGCCCAAAAGCCCTTGAAGATCTGTTCATCACTGTTTCTTCAAGATCAAGCCCAAAAGCCCTTGAAGATCTGTTCATCACTGTTCTTCAAGATCAAGCCCAAACGCCCTTGAAGATCCGCTCATCACCGTTATTCAAGATCAAGCCTCAAACGGCCCTTGAACAAACATTCATCCTCAAGATCAAGCCCCAACGACTCCTTGAAGATCCGCTCAAACCCACCTTCAAAGAACAAGCCCACGGCCCTTTGAAGAAACTTCCAACTGTTCATCTAAGATCAAGCCTCGACGGCCCTTGGATCAACGAAACACCCACCAATCAACACCTTACGAAGATCGAATCAGAGGATAAATTTGAGAGAGATTGTAACCCAAAATCATCAAATACAATATTTGTTTGTGCACGTTTGTTCTTGTCTCTTTCGTTTCAGGAATTTTCCGTGTTCACAAATTGGCACGCCCGGTGGGACAATCTCTGCCTCTCATCTCTTTCTCCGTTCAAGAAATTCAAGCGCACTTCCAAAATTAATGGCATCAAGGAAGGCTCAAACTGTTCTCGCAACCGGCGCAAAGAACAAAAGCGTCCTCGTCGCAACTGGTGTCACTTTGGGCATCACAACTCGAAGCATGGCAAGAGCTACTTCTGCCACCTCTTTCACCTCTGCATCAACTCTGCCAAGGGAACAAGAGCACTCAAGGCACGAGCCTTTGATCACCTTAGCCTCACTAAGGGCACCAAGGGGGGGAAGCCCGAGGAAATACTCTGAATCCATGCTCTCCGATGCCGATTCAAGCGGCAGTGCAACCATGCAAGTCATGACCATTGGAGTAACTTCAATCGATGAGCAGCTGGCTCAGATGAATGAAGCAATCGCAAGGCTAACCCGAACTGTGGAAGAAAAAGACTTGCAAATTGCAGCACTCGTCAATCGACTAGAGGCGTAGGACGGCGATAAACCCGACCCAGAGAATGATCCACTAAAGAGAAGAGATGACGAAGAAGATGAGCCTCAGGTGGAGAAAAACGATGCAAAGCCGGAGCCAGACCAAGCAGCGGCACTCATGGGATCTCTTTCTATCCAGCAGCTGCAAGAGATGATCACCAACACCATCAAGGCACAGTACGAAGGGAGCTCAAATACCTCCGGGTTGTACTCAAAGCCGTATTCAAAGAAGATCGACGCCTTAAGGATGCCGAGGGGTTATCAACCACCAAAGTTCATGCAATTTGATGGAAAGGGAAACCCGAAACAGCACGTTGCCCACTTCGTTGAAACTTGCAACAACGCAGGAACCGAAGGGGATTACCTCGCCAAGCAGTTTGTGCGCTCGCTGAAAGGAAACGCCTTTGAGTGGTACACAGACCTAGAGCCTGAGTCCATCAACAGCTGGGAGCAGTTAGAGCGGGAATTCCTCAACCGCTTCTATAGTACCCGCCGCACTGTGAGCATGCTAGAGCTAACGAGCACAAAGCAGTGGAAGGACGAGCCAGTCATTGACTACATCAACAGATGGCGCACTCTAAGCCTCGACTGTAAAGATAGGCTCTCGGAAACCTCTTCAATCGAGATGTGCATCCAAGGCATGTAATGGGGTTTGCAATACATCCTTCAAGGCATTAAACCGCGGACCTTCGAGGAATTGGCCACTCGCGCCCATGACATGGAGTTGAGCATCGCCCATCATGGGAAGAAAGAATCGATCGCCGACTACAAGAACGACAAAGTTCTTGGGACAAAGGTGGAAAAGGCTGCATGGAAACCCACCAAGGAAGCGATGACGGTCAACACAGCTCCCGTCAAAATCTCCACACGAGGCAAGGCGATTCAAGCCGAAGGCTTTCGTGATCAAGAGATGCGTAGACGCACTTTGAAGGAGCTTGAGGAGAAAACTTATCCATTCCCTGACTCTGATGTGGTTGCCATGTTAGAAGACTTGCTGGACAAGAAGGTGATCAGTTTGCCTGAGTGCAGACGGCCGGAAGAGATGAATCGTACCGACAGTCCAAGATACTGTAAATTCCACCGCTTCATCAGTCATCCGACAGAAAAATGTTTCGTGCTGAAAGATCTCATCATGAAGCTGGCTCAGAAAGGAATCATCGAGCTAGATCTTGACGAAGTGGCGAAGTCAAACTATACCACCTTCACTTCTGGCTCTTCCGACTCAAAGTTTTCACCTCAACCGCTGGGGGCATCGTCCAAGACAAGCAAAATTGAAGGATGGACTCAAGTCACTCCTAAGAAATTGCACAAGAAGCATACGTCTCCTCCACAAGTCCGCCAATCGGAAAGGGGGCAAAGCAGCTCTTGTCAACCTTTAAAGCAACGTGAACGTGTTGAAGATGATGAAATTTCGACATATAGATCGTCCATCCCCATCACGATGCGTGATTTCTTGCCCGAAGACTTCTTCAATCACTCGGTCAAGGCTCCTTGCTATGAAGATTGTGAGGAACGCCTCTCCAAAATTGCTTGACAAATTCACCAAAGCTCATTGTCCGCACGAGCCTAAACTGTAGGACACGAGGCTCCTCGCCTGCACGAGCCTAAACTGCATGGCACAATGCTCCTGATCCGCACGAGCAT